GAGTTTCAAGGTTGTGAGGATGTTAATGATGGATTGAATTTGGGGGATAAGAGTGTAGATAGGGTGGTTGAAGGATTGCAGTCAATGGGTGATAATCACTGCTTTGAATCTGGTTTTTTAGCAGAAGAGGTAGAAGACATTTGTTAAGGGAAGCTTTTGAAAGAGTGAGCATTTCAACAACTTCCTCTTCAGGCTTTTCAGATTTATTGGAAGAAGCTTTAGCTACTTGGGAGATAAGTAAGTTGTTGGGGATTTCCTTTAAACAAAGACAACAAGCCTTTTTGGATAAGATTATTAGTTTGGAAAAAGGCTTGAGGATGGACAAGCAGGGGGATTTTGCGGGGGGTCTAGATGGTTGATTTCTTTATGATGATGTTAAAGTTATCTATAATAACATGGAATGTTAGAGGATTGGGTAGAAGAGAGAAAAAAAGGGATGTTCAAAGGTTAGTCTCCAAATACTGTCCTCAATTTCTTTGGTTACAAGAAACGAAATTGGAGAAGATTCAAAGGTCTTTTATGAGAAGGAATGGTTAAATAATCTACAAGGGGTTATTGAGTCTCGATCGGTTGGTTTGTCAGGGGGATTACTGTTTTGGTGGGATGATAATGTATTTGAGTTGCAAAATCAGTGTACAACCAGAAGATTTATTGCTATATTGGGGAGGTTTCGGGCAAATAATTTCAGGTGTAGATTTATTAATGTGTATGGTCCCTCGGTTGAGGAGGAGAAAGAGAGTTTTTTTGAAGAGTTAAGCACGTTCATTGGAGGACATTCTGAGCCTATTTGTGTTGGAGGGGACCATAATGTTTATCTACATGAAGATGAGAAGATTGGTAGAGCCCAAAACAGGAATTCTATAGAGATTTTCAGTCGTTTCTTCTTAATACAGGTTTAATCGATTTTCCTTTGAGTGGAGGTAGATTTACTTGGTGTAATAACCAAGATTCCCCGACCTATGTTAGGCTGGACAGATTTTTGGTTGATAGCCAATTCATGGCCGCTTTTCCAGATTTAACACAATCGTTGCTGCCAAGATGATTGTCAAATCATAATGCAGTAATAATTGAGAATAGAGGTGTAAATTAGGGGAAGAAGCCGTTTAAACTGTTTAACTGCCTGATGGATGAAGCTGGATTCGAGGATTTAATCAGCTCTTCAATTCAAGAATGTAAAGAGATACAGAGGAATGCTGGAATTTTCAAAATTTTGGAAAAAACCAAAACTGCCATTAAAAATTGGGTAGGGAAGAGAGATAAGTTTCTTGGAGCTGAAATTTCAGAATTAGAATTGAAGATTCAAAAATTATAAGTGGAGGTTCAACAGCAGCAAGATGGTACTTATGATGAGAAAGCAGTTGAGTTAAAGGAGTTAAGGTCAGAATTATGGAAGTTGCATAAGATAGAGGAGCAGATTTGGTTCCAGAATTCTAGATCCAAATGGGTAGAAGAAGGGGATAGAAAAAACAGATTCTTCCATACATGTGCTTCAGCTAGGAGGAAAAAATGCATTGAATGCTCTTTTAAGCAGGGGTAATGTTATTCAAGACCCAAATGTTATAAAGGCCACTGTCAAAGAACACTTCTTTAAGGCTTTTAATGACAAATCGACCTTAGAAGTGAAAGAAATTGAGTTGGATTTTTCCAGTATTTCTATTCAGCAGAGTTTAAGTTTGGAGAAAGAATTTACTGAGGAGGAAATATGGGAGACGTTAAAATCTTGTAATAGCAACAAAGCCCCGGGGCCGAATGGTTTTAATTTGGGGTTTTTCAAGAGATATTGGCATGTACTTAAAGGAGAAATTATGAAGTTCTTCCTCAACTTCTATTCGGGGAAAGATTGGGATCATGGCATTAACCGTACCTTTATTTACTCTTATTCCTAAGGTCTCTAACAGTGGTGACCTTGATGATTATAGGCCTATTAGCTTAGTTGGTGGATTATATAAGATTCTCTCTAAGTGCCTATCGAGGAGGTTAAGGAGCTGTATTTCAGACTTAATTAGTCCTACACAATTTGCCTTCACCCAAGGGAGACAAATATTGGACTGTTCTTTAATTGCGAATGAAGGAGTGGATTATTGGAGGAAAAAATGGTCTTAAAGGTTGTGTTTTCAAGGCATATTTCAAGAAAGCGTATGATTCAGTTGATTGGGATATTTTGTTTCTAGTTATGGAGAAAATGGGATTTGGTTCCATGTGGAGAGGTTGGATCAGAAAATGTGTAACCACAGCTTCAGTTTCTGTTTTAGTGAATGGAGTTCCTACTGAGGAATTTCCAATGGCTAAAGGACTTAGACAGGGGTGCTCACTATCACCTCTGTTGTTTAATCTTACTGGAGAACATTGTCTGTTTTCTGGACTGTTTATAGGTAGGGATGCGAGTGCTTTCAAATTATCTCATCTACAGTTCGCGGCTGATCTCATTATATTTTGTGGGGCGTCTAAGACGCAGATTTTAAATGTGAAGAGGGTGCTTAGAGTGTTTCAAGTGATTTCTGGTTTACAGATTAACATGAAGAAAAGTAAACTGTTTGGTGTGAATTTGAACGAAAAAGATGTTCAGCAGTAGGCTAATTCTATCGGATGTTTAGTGGGTAGTTTTCCCTCTGAATATTTAGGATTGCCTTTGGGAGCTTCTAGAAATTTTACAGCACTTTGGAATCCGGTGGTGAATAATTTTACAAATAAATTAGCTGGGTGGAAGGCTTCTTCACTGTCATTAGCAGGAAGGTTGGTTTTAATAAAGTCGGTTCTATGTTCGCTCCCTACGTATTATTTATCTTTATTTAAGATATCAGTTTCGGTTCTTAAATCTCTCAACTCCATTATGTCGAAATTCTTATGGGGAGGGGGAATAGGTAAAAATAAGATACATTGGGTTAACTGGCTGATTGTGTGTAAGTTAAAATTCGAATGGGGTTTAGGTGTTGGAAATCTTATTTTCATGAATAGAGCTCTTCTAGCAAAATGGTCTTGGAGGTATGCTAATGAAAGGGGGTCTGTTTGGAGGGAATTTATTTGTTCTAAATACAATATGGATCCATCTTGGTTAATGTTTGACAGCAAAGTCCCACAAAAAGTATCTTGGATTTGGAGATCGGTGGTTATGAATCACTTTAAAGATGACAGTATTGGTTCTAAGTTTAGAATTTGTATTCTTTCCGAGTTGGGGATGGCAAATTGATTAGGTTATGGCAGGATAATTGGGCTTTGGACTATCCTCTTCTAATTATTTTCCTGCGATTGTTTTCCATTTCCACAAACAGAATTGGCAAACTGGTTGAATTTGGGAAATACAGCTCATCGGGATGGAGTTGGGATGTACAGTTTAGAAGAAATTTAAATGACTGGAAGTAGAGCAGTGGGTTAGTTTGATGAACGCTATTTCCTCTATTTCTCTATCTACGGAGTTATGTGATGGGGTGATTTGGAAAGGTACTGGGGATGGGGTGTACTCTGTTAAATCTGGCACTAAGATTTGTTCAGCCTTTTCTTCGGATTCGGAAGAGGTATATTTTTGGAAGAAGATTATTTGGAGGGGCCAGATTCCACCTAGAGTGGAGTCCTTTATGTGGCAGGTGGTGTTAGGGAAGCTGACTGTTAGGACAAAACTTGTTAAAAGGGGAATTCAAGGAATTGTAGACATTATGTGCCCTCTTTGCAAGAGGGAGGTGGAGTCTCCCTCGCACTTGTTTTTCACGTGTTCGGTGGTGTGGATGATTTGGAACAAATTTCTGAATGTCTGGAAGATTAAGTCTGTTTTTCATGTTAATGCTAAAAACTTCCTACTTGCTTGGGCTGATTTGAAGTCTACCTCTACAATTTGGTCTTTAATTCCTGGGGCAGTTCTTTGGACTACTTGGAAAGTTAGAAATCTTATTGTGTTTGAAGGGGGAAAGTTGGATTTGGCTGAGTATTTTTTCCTAGCAAGGTTTAGACTAGCTTCTTGGTTCCTTGCTAAGTACAAAGAGGTTTCTATTCCTATGGATTCTCTTATTTGGACCCTTCAATAGGGGATTTGTGCTCTCTCAATTCTAATCGGCTTGTAGTTAAATTTCCTTGGTCTCCTCCTCCTAAAGGTTTTGTAAAGTTAAATTTTGATGCGGCTACTATAAGAAATTGGAAGAAGAGTGGGATATGAAGTGTTCTAAAGGACTCCTCGGGTTTGACTTTAAGTTTTTTCAAGGAATCTGCTGGTCCGGGTTCTCCAACTTTTATGGAATTAAAAGCTATACAGAAGGGTCTAATGTTCTATACGGATTTACGAGAGAGGAAGGGCCGTCTGATTATCGAAAGCGACAACAAGGTGGTTGTAGACTGGATTAAGGAAGTGGATTTAGTTCCTGACGTTTATGATTTTTTTATTAAAGATATTGTTCACAGGCTTAATGTTGTAGAAGGTGTTGTCAGATGGGTTAATAGGACAGCCAATTTAGAGGCTGATGCCTTAGCTAAAGAAGGAATTGGCTGATTCTGTGTTTATAGTTTGGATGTTTTATGGCTGTTTCGAGCTTATTTGGTTATGTTGGGGTGTATAATGGTTGTATCTTATGTAATTTTATGGTTCAATAAAATCCTAAGACACTCTTTTCCTCCTTCCGCTGATTAAGGAGCTTACTTATAAGCTCCATTAATCAAGAAGGGGGTTTTTAATAAAAAAAAAAAGTCTCCAACTGCCTTCCTAAACATATTCATTCTTTTGTACCAAAATGTTTGGTTGAATAAGCACTTATCTTATGCGTAGCTTTTCCAAATTAAGTTATAACTTGTTATCATGCGATTGCTGTTGATTGCAAACTACAAATGGTTTTCCAAAAAGAAAAAATGAATGCTTTGATTTTGACCATATGTAACACCCTAAATTACAGGAGCATTCATTTTTTTTTGGAAAATCATTTTTAAAAATGTTTTTCCAAAATGGACATTTGCTGTTGATTGCATTCGATCTATAACTAGTTATCATGTTTCTAATTGTGTTACAGGTTTCAAATATGTAGGTTTCGGAGCCACTACGGGCATTAATTACAGGAGCTCCTTTAGAGGATGCTCGACATTTGACTCACCGTTATGACAAATTCCTTCAAGAAGTTGAATCTCAGGTATTTCTTTGTTTTAAAAAAATTGGAGTAGGCCAATGTCAGCAGTTGGAACCTAGGCCTGTGTGAACTTTGGTTGGTTGGACCAGAAAATGTATCAGAAATTTGGCATGGACTTCACTGACCGCAGTCCACTGTAATTTCTTGATTGTCGTTACGTTGCCCAGCTAATTCATGAAAAGTTTATTTAGTTAATTCTACAAAAGGTTATGTGTTCACTGACGGATATGCAGAGTATTTTTCTCCCAACATATTAATAAACAAGATTGCACTTATACTTCCTACTTATCCCAAATGAAATATGGAATTAATTAAATGCTTCTTTGACTCCATGTGTCTAACCTGTAATAACTGTCTCATATCATGTTTTACATCTTTCACTTTTGTTCTTATTTCTTTTTTCATATGTAGACAGGTTCTCAGCCATTTTGTTTTTCACAAACAGACCGCAGATGTTTTGAGACGTAAATCAAAGACCAAGGAATCTGATATATCTACCGAAAGCTACATGAAGCTTAAACATGCCGAAGAAAGATTGACTGAACTTAAATCCTCAATGGTGGTACTAGGAAGAGAAGCAATTGATGCCATGTTGTCAGCTGAGGATCAACAACAAAATATTACTTTCCAAGTGCTCCGTGCAATGGTATTGCCAATTTAATTTAATTTTTTATGCAATGCCTGTAATAAGTTCTCTCTTTTTTTTTCCTGTGGTTCAGAAAACAAAACTGTTTTTCTGGTACTCAGTAGTTCTGTCTTTACAGCTACTACATAAGATTGATTTCCTACTGAAGGAGGTTTTGCGACTGTTATTTATTCTAAAAGAATGATATTTTCTTGAGGATTCCGTGTGTGTACATTGATAGTCCTAAGTTTAGTTTAACAAATTATATAGTTGCTTTGTTTGACCTGCACTACTGCACAAAGGAGTCCTAGCCAGGGGCCTATGTATATTTATGTGTGTAATGCGGAAGTAGCGAAGGTATTCTTGACTTCAGAGTGAGTTTTGATTTCAATGCTCATTACTGCTACCTGTAGTGCTCAGGTCGTTGGTCCTCACCTGACTTATTTTGCAGGTTGATGCCGAAAAATCTTATCATCAACATGTTCTTGCTATTTTGGAGAAGATATATGCTGAGGTTTGTACTTAATCTCAGCTCTTTTATTGTCCTCATTTTTTTTTGATAGGAATAAAAGGCCTCAATAAAACCCCCTTGGTGATTAACGGAACTTAAAAATAGTTCCTTAATCCACACAAGGAGGAAAGGAGTGCCCTAGGATTCATTAAACTCAAATATAACAAAGTAATACAAACCAATCTCCCTCAAGAGATACAAAACCAGAAAGAAACAGCCCTTAACAGAGCATAATTCAACCAATACCCGCCTTAGCTAGGACATCCGCCTCTATATTGGCCGTCCTACTAACCCAACTAATAAAACCTTCAAAAACACTAAGCTTTTGAATAATGTCTTTAACTATTTGAACATAAACAACAGGACAAGAGACCACATCCTTAATCCAGCCAACTGCCACCTGACTATCACTCTCAATAATCAATCTATCTTTAAACCTATGACGAATAGATTCAAAAAAATCTAAACCCTTTAGGATAGCCTTCAATTCCATTAAAGTTGGGGGCCCCGGACCAGCAGGCTCTTTGAAGGAGCCAAGAATCGAACCAGACATGTCTTTCAAAATACCACCTAAGCCACTCCTCTTCCAATCACTCGAGGTAGTCGCATCCACATTAAGTTTAACAAACCCTTTTGGAGGAGGGGACCAAGGAAACACGGTTGAAACCCGATTAGAATGGGACGAGTAGGAATCCACTATGGACGGGTCAGCAATAATATCATCCTTGGAAATAGTAATATGAGTTTCCTTAGCTAGAAACCATGAAGCAAGCCTGCACCTAGCTAGAAAGAAAATCTCTGCTCGATCAAGCTTCCCTCCTTCAAACACTATAAAATTCCTGGTCTTCCAAATTGTCCATAGAACAGCTCCAGGTATAAATGGCCAGATAAGAGAGTTGGTCTTCAAGTCATTCCAAGCCAATAGGAATCTTTTAGCATCTGCATGAAAAACCGACTGAAAATTCCAATAGCCCAAGAATTTCATCCAAATTGGCCAAACAACCGAACAGGAAAAAAATAAATGCGATGAAGACTCTTCTTCAAGATTACAGAAAGAACACAAAGTATCATTTATGCCTTGAACACCTCTCTTAACCAGAGCTGTCTTGACCGCCAACTTCTTTAAGATAACTTGCCAAAGAAAAGTCTCAACTCTTGGAGGCAACAGACCCCTCCAAACATTAGACTTCCAAAATTTAGCTTCCTCTGAATCGGGAGAACCCGAATAAGATAGATTGACACATGATTTCACAGTGAAAACCCCTTCCCCATTCCCCTTCCAAAACAGTCCATCAGCGGCATCAGCAGAAATAGTAAAATCAGAGATAACAACCATCAAATTTGCCCATTGCTCAAATTCCCAGTCATTCAACTCTCTCCTCAACTGAACGTTCCAAATCCAACCCCCTGAACTGAACTCCCCAAACTGAGATAATCTTCCTTCTTTATTCACTGCAATAGAAAATATTCTAGGGAACAATACCATCAAAGGATGATCCATTGTCCAATTGTCTTGCCAAAACCGAATGTTCCTCCCATTGCCAATTTTAAAGCTATATTTACCTCTGATACTACAGCCCAACGAATCAGCATTATAATGATTTCTCACCATATCTCTCCACATCCAAGACAGTTTAGGAGAGACTTTACTGTCAAACTGCATCAAGGAAGGATCCAATTTATATTTGATGCAGAGCATTTCCCTCCAAACCGCCTCCCTCTCAATAGCAAACCTCCAAGCCCACTTTTCCAAAAGTGCCCTATTCACCACCTTTAAATTAGGAACCCCCAAGCCTCCTTCAATTTTTGGTTTACAAACATCGGACCAGCTTACCCAATGTATCTTCTTTCTCCCATCACCACCACCCCATAAAAAATTTGACATGATAGAATTTAGAGTTATAAACTGAAGCTGGAACCTTGAACATTGACAAAAAGTATATAGGGAGTGAGCATAGAACTGATTTTATTAGAACTAGCCTGCCTGCCAGTGACAGAGAGGAGCCTTTCCAGCCCGCTAACCTCTTATTAAAGCTTTGAACCACTGGATCCCATAGAATGTTGGAGTTCCTATGTGGACCTAGAGGGAGTCCCAAATATTCTAAGGGAAAAGAGCCCACTGAACATCCAATCATAGCTGCCCAATCCTTAATTTCCTCTTCCTTTAAGTTCACCCCAAATAATTTACACTTCTTTAAATTCAGCTGGAGACCAGAAATAATCTCAAACACCCGAAGAACCCTCTTTACATTCAAGATCTGTTTTTCCGACGCCCCACAGAACATAATAAGGTCGTCAGCAAATTGCAAATGAGTTAAATTAAAATTCCTCTCCTCTTTTCTAATGACCAATCCCGAAAAAAGCCCTCCTGAAACAGCCTTCGCTATTAATAGATTCAAGAGTTCCCCAACTATATTGAACAACAATGGAGACAAGGAACAGCCCTGCCGAAGACCCCTCGCCATAGGAATTTCCTCAGTAGGAACTCCGTTCACCAAAACTGAAACAGTTGCTGAAGTGACACATTTCGAAATCCAACCTATCCATCTAGAACCAAAGCCCATTTCCTTCATTATTCTGAACAAAATAGGCCAGTCAAGAGTATCATATGCCTTCTTGAAATCAGCCTTAAAAACACACCCTTTTAAACCATTCTTCCTCCAAAAGTCAATCCCTTCATTTGCTATAAGAGAACAGTCCAGGATTTGCCGACCGGGGATAAAAGCGAATTGACTTGGACTGATCAAATCTGAAATGCAGCTCCTAAGTCTTCTTGACAGACATTTAGAGAGTATCTTATACAATCCACCAACAAGGCTTATAGGTCTAAAATCGTCCAGACCACCAATGTTTGAAATCTTAGGAATAAGAGTGATGAATGTGTGATTTACTCCATGTTCCCATTCCTTCCCCAAGTAAAAATTATGAAAGAATTTCATAATATCTACCTTAAGGACCTGCCAAAACCTCTTGAAAAATCCCAGATTAAAGCCATCAGGACCCGGAGCTTTGTTGCTGCCACAAGAGTTCACCACATCCCACACTTCCTCCTCAGAAAACTCCTGTTCTAAGAACTGCTTCTGCTCCAAAAAAATTCTGGGAAAATCCAGATTCAAATCATCAATTTCTAAAGTAGTTCGTTCATTATAGTTCTTAAAAAAATACTCTTTAACTATGGCCTTAATTGCAGTTGGGTCTTCAACTGTTTCCCCTTTGAAGTTTAAAGCAAGTAGAGCATTCCTTTTATTCCTAATCGTAGCACAAGTGTGGAAGTATTTAGTATTGCGGCCCCCATCAACAATCCAATTAGTTCTCGAGTACTGAAACCAGATCTGCTCCTGAATCTTGTGAAGCTTCCACAATTCTGCTCTAAGATTTTTAAATTCAGTTAATACCTCACTGTCAACAATTCCTTGCTTCTGTTGAATATCATCCTCTATCAACGAAATTTTCTTCTCTAACTCAGAAATCAAAGCACCTGGATACTTATCTCTGTTCCCAGACCACTTCTTAATTGAATGTTTGGTGTTCCTCATCAGACTAAAAACGCCTGCCTCATTCTGACTATCCTTACCACTCTGAAAAGAAGAAACAACCAGATCCTCAAAACCCTCCTCATCCATCAAATAATTGAATAATCTAAACGGTTTTCTACCCCAGTCCACTCCTTTATTCTCCAGAACTATAGCATTATGATCTGACAAAGATCTTGGTAGAAGCGACTGCAAAACGCCCGGAAACAGCTCTAGGAAACGACAATCAACCAAAAAACGGTCCAATCTTACAAAAGTGGGATTATCTTGGTTATTACACCAAGTGAACCTACCCCCATTCAAAGGGAGATCAATCAAGCCCGTATGAAAAATGAACTCATTAAAGATCTCCATTGAACTCCTACTTTGACCCCTTCCCAATTTCTCATCTTCTTGTAAATATACATTGAAATCCCCTCCCACACAAATGGGATAAGTCTGTCCACTAAGAAAACTGCTTAATTCTTCAAAAAAACCAGATTTCTCCTCCTCCACTGCTGGACCGTAGACATTGATGAAACCACACCTGGAATCAATACTCCGAAATTTACCGAAAGTAGCTATGAATCTCCTGCTAACAAACTGACTCTCCAGCTCAAAAACATTGTCATCCCAACAACACAACAGGCCCCCCGCTGATCCAACTAAAGGAGATTCCAAAATTCCTTTTAGCTTATTAATTCCACTTCTCCTAAAAAAAGACTTCCTAAATTTCTCAGTCTTAGTTTCTTGCAGCCAAAGAAAAGTAGGATTAAAGTTGGAGACTAAATTCTGAACAGCCCTCTTTTTTTCGTTTTTCCCCAAACCCCTAACATTCCATGAACATATTACTAACTTTGTCATCTTCAAAAAGGAAATAGGTGCAGACACAACCCTCAATCAACCAAACCTTTATTAACCCCATTTACGCCTTTCTCTAAAGCTATGATTTTATCCAAAAAGGCTTCTTTCCCTTCCTTAAAAGACACACCCAAAAGCTTGCTAACCTCCCAAGTTTCTACCGCTTCTTTCAACAGAATCGAAAAAGCTGAGGAGGATGCTGTATCAATGCTCACCTGGTCGAGGGCTTCACGATACAAGATCCTTTTAGTTCTTCTCTTCCTTCTAATCAACAAACCAGATTTGGACTTTAAGCAATCGCCTTCTGAAAAGTAACCTTCAATCTCCCTTCCTACACTCCCACCCCCAGATCCATTGTCAAGATAAGGAAAAAGACTCCCATCAGCAATGTTCTCTGCTGATAAACAGAGCTGATTATTAGTACTGGAATCAACATCTAGCTCCCTCTGCTTAACTACGGCACCCCCTGTTTCAGACGAGATGTTCAACAAATCCCCATACCAGTATCTTCTTTCCCTCGACCTGTTGTATACCCTTTTACAATTGCTCAGACTTCTAGTTTCCAGCACATTACTCTCTGTTGTAAACTCTCTTCTAGAGCGATGTAACTGCCTCCCCCTTGAGTGATACCCTTTTATTGTCCTCATGATTTCTTTAGGCATCACCATCCAAATACATGGTATTTTATGGGTGCCAAACTGCTTTTATTCTTTCCTTGCTTATTGCATATCCAAAAGGTTTTGATCAAAGTTTACTGCTGGATAGATGACTCTAGAGGAGCAGAAGAATGAGTCATTGAACTCGGTGACATCAGAGAGAGAGCTGAGTATCTCCATTTCACATGATAACATTAGTTCGAATGGATCTGAAGCTCGGGGAAACAAACAAAGTTATGAATATTTCATAGCAAAGGTTTAGCTTTTGAACTCTTTTTGTTTTGGCCCCTCGGTGACTAAATGAAAGATGGGAATGTGTTCTCTGAATGAAACATATATAGAAATTTCAGTTACTTGTATATTCTCCGTCTGTTACTGATGATAGAGGTTTTGTTTGTTTCTAACAGGTTGTACACCCATTTGAGGCTGAAGCAGATGGGGAGTTGAACTTAGCAGTTGGTGATTATGTCGTGGTTCGCCAGGTACGGACTGTTTCGAACTGCGGTGTTTGGTTAAATGTTTAAAGTTGGTGTTTTAGGTGATGATAATCATAAGTTTGGTTGTAATGGACAATTAAGGTGGGTCCCAATGGATGGTCGGAAGGAGAATGCAAGGGGAAGGCTGGATGGTTTCCCTCTGGTTATGTAGAAAGACAAGAGAAAGCACCAGCAAGCAAGTTGATTGAACCAAACTCTGCAGCCTCTGCCCGATCTACTTTTGTAAACCAGTTGGGAGTGAGATGAACAGAACAGAAGAATGGTAAACGAAGAGCATACCCCGTGGCTGTATGATGCCCTTTGGCCTTTGTAATGTAAGTAATTACAGAGTACATTCATTGATATTAATATATGTGAAATTGTATTGTATGCTACATAACGAAAGCTACTACGAAGTTAGATTTGTGAAGAAGATTCAATAAACCTTTTCTTTTTTGTGTTCTGAAAAATAAACAAAGTCACGTTGTTCGTCTCTCATTTCATGTTTAAATGGAGGATTTGATTCAAGTTAGTTTAACATCTTTTTCAAAATTACTTTCGAAACGTGTTTTTGTAAGAATTTAATTCAAGTGTTTAAGATTGTTATTAAAATGATTTTCAGGAAGATAAATGATCGTTTGACATAGGATGTTTTTTAATATTATATTATATTATATGAAGCCTTGGACTGTATTGTATTGTATTCTAAATCGCTGCCAAATATGTCACTTTCATCACTTCAGATCTCCCATGTATTCACCAAATCATTTCAACCTGAAAGCCTATGCCATACTCTGTATGCACGGCTATGATCAATTGATGCATAAACAGAACCTATGATAGACTAAAGTGAATAAAAAATGCCAATTCTACTATTGTGCTTGAAATTTTCACCACCTTTCATCACCTGTAACATAGTATTATTCAAAAATACTTCAGAACTCATTTCTAGTTGATTTGTTTAAAAAGCAAACATTGACTGCAAAGCCTCTTGAAGAGTTGTGAGAGATACCTGCCTTTACATCACATTCAATTCAATGGGACTTTGGCTTTCCCTATCTTATTAAAGAGGAAGATATAAGCTTTGACAATCTCTTCCTTGAACATGAAAAGTACAGAAGCTGCAAAAACACTCTGTACGATCTTCGTGCTCATTCCCTTGTAGAAGCCAGGCAATCCTTCATACCTCATCATTTTAATTATTGCATCAAATGTACCTGTTCCACACCGTTGATATCAATCTTGCTCCTTAGATAAACAAAGCCACTGGCTCGACACCGAAAGTTAATAAGACAGTGTCACATAGCAGATAAGCTTATGGCAAAGTCTGAGAGATTAGACAAAGGTTGCAATGGATGTACATGCCAATTGATATCCACCTCACTTCTCTTCATGAATATGAATTAGACTAAACATGACAAGGAATGTCAGTAACCCTACGATTCCAATGTCAACATCGACTTTAAAAGCCTTGAGACTTGTGAACAGAAATAAGAATTGAAAAACACAAAATGTGATCGAGTGGGTGAGGCTCCTCCTGCAAAATGCTTCCGGATGATCAAATTCAAGGTTGAATCTAGAATAATATAACTTTTAAGACTTTTGAGGAGACAATCTAAATGAAAGGTTTTAGAACAAGGGTAAAACATGCTGCACACTTGGTGGGAAAAACCCTTCGCCGTCGACATGGAAGCTACAAATACGGTTACAAACAGATAAATCAAAAGTTTTGAAAATCAAACCAACCTGAATATCTTAGTGACATATGTCCACCAATCTCTTGCTTTGCTTGAAGTCGAGACTGTACAAGTGTTTAAGAGAACGAAAAAAGTAAGATGTTTCAAAGTGCAACACAAAGGACATAAAAAGGCATCATACACTTGAATTGAAGAATTGGAGAACCTTTTCTGACTACCTTAGGAGCCATTAATTTCTCGCAAAGTTTACCTTGACAACCAGCAGAGGGTATGTTGTCACAGTAGCCCCAAGTTTTGCCAAGGCTCCTAATAAAAACACCTGCCAATAGAAATAAGGCAGAAAGAAGTAGAAATTTAGACAAGGCCACCATGTGCCTATTCAGACATTTTAAGGAGTGGACCAGCTCCACAGTGGAGAGCTTGAAAACTCAGTGATGGTATTCAATTTTCCAACTATAGATGCCAAATCGAACACTCGACTGTAGTCTGTTTCAAATATGTGATTAACCGTTTATTATTCTATTTTTGTTCCAAAAGTAGGAAATTCCATGGGCAAGAAAGTTATCTAACTTACCAATGATTGACGCATAACAAACACAGGTTTCAGTATTTTGACACTAATGAGGGCGAAAAAATGCAATTCCAAGATGATCATTTGGTAATGCACCCCAAACCTAGCTAGTCCTTTGTTTCAAAGATATACGTACCTCCAAAGCTGATACATTCTTTAATCCATGCTTATTATCAGCAGATCGTTTTTCCTTCAGACGCTTTAATGAGGTCTCGTATATCATGAACTGGATTGAGGGATTACACACCTGGCATAAAAAAATCTTCATTACTCAGATGCAACCGAACAGTATCCACTGTTTACATATGTCAAGTTAGAGCCTAACCATAATGAGCGTAGGTATGATGCCTTTCCAAAATCCTTTTATTCCCGCTTCAGCATAAACTTCACGGGCCTAGAAATGAATGAATATAATGATTATCATTTGCATCATAATCTGATAAAACTATGTATAAATCTGAAGATTCAAGACTTTGAATTGAAACTACACGATTAACAAAAAAATGTAATTAAACCAAAACAGAAAAGCAATTAAAGAAAATGGTGAAACCAATTATTTCAATGCTATAACGAGTATAACTGCAACCATTCCGGCCTTCCGGGAACCCCAAATTCTCAAGGCAATAAAAAGATAATGTAAGAAAGATACCAACCGCCTGAATTGTTCCATAAGGACGAGGCTTCGTTGAATCAAGCTCACCCAACTTTTCTTGCAGTGTTGTGTCTGTTATGCTGTTTTCAGAAGCCTCCCTCAATAGAGCTTCCTTTCTGGACTCCATAATTTTTCTTTCTGCTTGAGTTTGAGTCTGAAGTAAAAAACAAAGAATATAGTGTTTATGATCTTCAGGGGATCACAAAGCACTATCTTGCATGGTACGCACTCCATGATCATGAAATTTTGTTTTTTGTAAAGCCTCTTTGTAGTAGAGATTAAATTGAACCCCAGCACAGTTAGTAGAGAACTAGAGATTAACATTGGCATGTTCACATTAACTGAAATTCTACACATCCTTAGTTGTACAAGAAACATTGACAGAGTCATAGAGACAGCAGACCTGCATACGGGTCACAAGAACCCATATTGGGTTTGTCAGCAATACATTCAAGGACCTGCAGGGTCATAGCGTGAGATCATTTTAGACAATTATTATTGTATATTGTTACATTGGAATGCAATGGAAAGGCATAAAGGGGATGAGAGTGGAGTTACCCTGCAAGAGCCGCCACAACAAGCCACGAAAAGACGCCGGCAGTGCCATCTCCACGTCCCTGGCGCTTACGGGCAGCTGCAATAGCCTCAGCCTTATTTTTGAATAGCTGATAAAAGTAGTAGTAAATTCCCTGACAACATCACACGATTGTTACAACTAACAAGCAGGAGAGTAAAAGCTGATGGGTATAAAATAGAGGGGCTTAAGGCCGAAGCGAAAGGCAAAAACACCTGAGAAGCAGCAGTTCCAAATAAAGAAGGCTTGAGGCCAGAGTAGAGTCCTCCCCAACCTTCGTTTCGAAGCACCTACAATGAAGAAGAATGAGAATCTCAAGTGGAGGGTGAGGCAAGGAAAAACATCAGGCAGTTTGAGGATGAAAACTAAGGGACGTACGTGGAGGATCTGAAGAAGCGTACCGGCAGCTGCAGTGGGGGGTTTGGGCTTGGACTTGGCGATTCTCTCCGTCTGTTGACGTGTGTTCACCTTTCGTTTTTGCAAAGGGGTTATGGTTACGTAAGCCATTGACAATCAAAATTGAAGGGGAAGAATGAATAATAGAGAATATTCACCGTCTGAAGTGGATAAGTGAGGATCTGAGCAATGATTCCGGCGCCTGCTCCAGCCACTCCATTCGCTATCGCATTCGAGTTGGACATAATCAGTTATCCTGCTTTGACTCGCTCTTCACTCGCTAACTTATCCTCCGCTCTCTTCCCTCCCTCGCTCTTTTCCTTGTTGATATTTATCGCTTGCTTCTCAGTTCTGACACTTCATTTTCACTTAGCCCACTTGGCCTATCGCTTCCTCTTAACTATTCACACCATGCTACGTTTCTAATTAGTAAACTACATAGCTAGTCACCTAACTTTTGTAAGGTTTACTTTTGATCATCGAAAATAGTTTGCTTCTTAGCAACCCGTTAGATAGTTTGCTTATTTTAGTCACTAACAATAGGAAAAGTTATAAATAGTTACTATGAAGCGAAAAATTATATATAAGATTAATTTTTTATGTTGAATTATGGAACGCAGACTTCTAAGAAGAAAATAGATATGTTCGTATCTATTGAAAAGTCAAAGATTGGTGTGCATAAATGCACCGAAAGTCGCTGCAAATTGATTGAAAAATTTCCACCGAAAATTAAGCAGCTTTTGTTGAAAATGTGAAAGGGTAAAATACCTAATTTAGTCACTTTACTTTTAGGGTATTTACAAGTTTAGTCCTTAAGCTTCAACTATAAATACCCTAGCTCATTTAGCTTCAAAATCATCCCAAAACATTCTAGCTTTCTTCCAATACTAGAGAGATTTTAGAGAGTTTCTTGAGAGTTGTTTTCTCCTTTTTATCTAGAGAGAATTATCATTGTTTTCTCCTTGGTAGATCGAGAGATGTTGTAATTCCTATTTTCTCATAGTGAAATTCTTCTACCGTTTCCCGTGGTTTTTACCCTAATTTTTTAGGGGTTTTTCATATAAATTTTGTGTCTCTTTTATCTTCATTTTTATTTTCTCAAATTATCAGTTGTGATTTTGCTCTATCCGATAGCCGTCTTCCGCAACAATTGGTATCAGAGCCAAATTTGAGTGTGTAATATCTGCTTATTGTCTTTGTGGTTGCCACCAAAAGGTGGATCCTCTAACATAAGAAAATAAGAAGGTATTACCTATTCTTTGAGGTTCTAGAGAACTATTCACGATAGTGAAATAGTGGGAGCTATCCGAAATAGAAGCTATGGCAACGAAATTTGATATTGAAAAGTTCAATGGGAGAAATTTCTCATTGTGAAAATTAAAGATGAAGGCTATCTTGAGGAAAGACGGGTATCTAGCGGCTATCAGTGAAAGGCCGGTGAATTTCGCAGATGATAACAAATGGAACGAGATGGACAGGAATGATATGGAAAACTTTCATCTAGCATTAGCAAATGAAGTATTGTCAAGCATCGAAGAGAAGAAAACAGCTAAGGAGATATGGGATCATCTCATCAAATTGTACGAGGCCACATCGCTGCACAATAAAATTTTCCTTAAGAGGAAATTGTACACTCTCCGTATGCCAGAATCTACTTCAGTGACGGAGCACTTAAATACACTGAACACCTTATTTTCTCAACTTACATCCTTAAGCTGTAAAATATGAGAACAAGAACGTGTTGAACTTCTACTTCAAAGTCTACCGGATTCGTACGATCAACTCATCATCAACTTGACAAACAGTAATGACACCAGTCTAGTCTTCGATGACGTTGCAGCTGCTGTTCTACAAGAAGAAAATCGGCGCAAAAACAAGGAAGACAGACAAGTAAATCTGCAACAAGAAGAAGCGTTGACAACGATGAGAGGGAGATCAACAGAACGTGGCCAAAGCAGCAGTCATAAACATGGTAGATCGAAGTCGAGGAGCAAGAAGAATTTAAAGTGCTACCACTGTGGAAAGAAGGGTCACTTGAAGAAGGATTGTTGGAGTCTAAATAAAAACTCCAATCCACAAGGCAATACCGTAAACACTTCAGATGATGGAGATGCTCTATGCTGTGAAGCGTCAACCACCGTGGAAGGCAGAAAAAGATTTGCAGATATATGACTCATTGATTCGGGAGCGACATATCACATGACCTCAAGAAGAGAATGGTTCCATCATTATGAACCTGTCTCAGGAGGATCTGTTTATAGTTGTAATGATCATGCCTTAGAGATCGTTGGTATGGGAACCATCAAATTGAAGATGTATGATGGAACAATTAAAGTTGTTCGAGATGTGCGACACGTGAAAGGTCTGAAGAAAAATTTATCATCCTACGTATTGTTGGATAATAATGCTAGCAAGATTGAAACACGGAAATGAATCATGAAGGTGTTCCGTGGAGCGCTTGTGGTGCTGAAAGGTGAAAAGATAGCTGCAAACTTGTACATGCTGAAGGGAAAGACATTGTTAGAAGCAGAAGCCTCTGTTTCCTCATGTAGTTCAGATTCTGCAATGCTATGGCATAAGAAACTTGGACACATGTCAGAACAAGGAATGAAAGTCCTTGTGGAGCAAAAGCTACTTCCAGGCTTAACAAAGGTATCACTTACTTTGTGTGAGCATTGCATAACAAGTAAGCAGCACCGGTTGAAATTCAACACATCAAATTCTAGAGGCAAAAGTGTTCTAGAATTGGTTCACTCTGACGTATGGCAAGCACCAGTAACATCCCTAGGTGGAGCAAAATACTTTGTCTCATTTATTGATGACTACTCCAGGAGATGTTGGGTGCACCCTATTAAGAAGAAGTCAGACGTGTTTTCAACTTTCAAAAACTTCAAAGCGTGGGTGGAACTTGATTCTGGAAATAAGATCAAGTGTTTCAGAACAGATAATGGAGGAGAATACACAAGCGAAGAATTTGATGACTTTTGCAAGAAAGAAGGCATCAAAAGACAGTTCACAGTGGCGAACACTCCTCAACAAAATGGAGTGGCAGAGACGATGAACAGAACCTTGTTAGAAAAAACAAGAGCAATGTTGAGGGACGCAGGCCTAGAAAAATCATTCTGGGCAGAAGCAGTCAATACCGCCTGTTATTTGGTGAATCGAGCTCCATCAACTGCAATAGAGCTGAAGACACCAATTGAGATGTGGACTGGTAAACCAGTTGATTATTCAAACCTCTATGTATTTGGAAGTATTGTGTACGTGATGTACAACGCCCAAGAAATTTCAAAGCTGGATCCAAAATCCAGGAAATGCAAATTCTTGGGGTATGCTGATGGAGTAAAGGGGTATCGCTTGTGAGATCCCACTGCCCGCAAAGTGATCATTAGCAGGGATGTTATCTTTGTAGAAGATAAACTACAAAGAAAAGAAGACGATGATAGCGCTAAAAAGTCAGAGACTACTCAGATACATGTGGAAAAAGAGTTTGAAGAAGGAGATTCTTCAGAAGCAGAACCAACACATGATGAACAAGAACCAGAGAGTTCTGAAGCTCCAACAACTCGTCAATCAAATCGTGTGAGAAGACGTCCCAATTGGCACTCAGATTATGTTATAGAATGTAATATTGCATACTGCCTTTTAACAAAGGACGGTGAGCCATCAACATACCAGGAGGCAATAAACAGCTCAGATGCTTCACTGTGGATGATGGCGATGCAAGAAGAAATTGAAGCCCTTCATAAAAATAATACATGGGACCTTGTGCCACTACCACAAGGAAGGAAGCCAATTGGTAGCAAATGGGTTTTCAAAATCAAGAGAAATGGTGACGATCAAGTGGAGAGGTATCGTGCAAGACTGGTGGTCAAAGGATATGCTCAGAAAGAAGGTATTGATTTCAATGAATTTTTTTCTCCTGTGGTTCGACTAACAACAGTTCGAGTAGTCTTGGCAATGTGTGCTACATTGAATTTACATTTGGAACAGCTAGATGTTAAAACAGCTTTTCTTCATGGAAATCTTGAAGAAGAGATTTATATGCTCCAGCCTGAAGGTTTCGAAGAAGACGAAAAGAAGAACTTGGTTTGCAGGTTGAACAAATCTCTGTACGGTCTAAAGCAGGCGCCGAGGTGTTGGTATAAGAGATTTGATTCCTGCATTATGTGTCTTGGATACAAAAGACTTAATGCAGACCCTTGTGCTTATTTCAAGAGGTCTGGTGATAACGATTTTGTTATATTACTGTTGTATGTGGATGACATGTTGGTTGCAGGACCCAACAAAGATCATATTACAGAATTGAAGGCACAACTGGCTAGGGAATTTGAAATGAAGGACTTGGGATCAGCAAACAAGATTTTAGGGATGCAAATTCACCGAGACAGAAGTAATAGGAAGATTTGGCTTTCACAAAAGAATTACTTGAAGAAAATCTTGTCACGATTTAGCATGCAAGATTGTAAGCCAATTTCTACCCCTCTTCATATTAACTTCAAATTATCCTCCAGTATGAGTCCTAGAAGTGAAGAAGAGAGGATGGAGATGTCTCGAGTATCGTATGCATCAGCAGTGGGAAGTTTAATGTTCGCTATGATATGCACAAGACCAGACATTGCACAAGCAGTGGGAGTGGTTAGTCGGTACATGACGAATCCAGGCAAAGAGCATTGGAATATTGTAAAGAGGATCCTAAGATACATCAAAGGGACCTCAAATGTTGCATTATGTTACGGAGGATCAAATTTATTAATCAATGGGTATGTAGATTCTGACTATGCATGGGATTTGGATAAAAGCAAATCTATTACAAGGTATCTGTTCAAAGTTACTGGTGGAGCTGTAAGCTGGGTTTCAAAATTGCAGTCAGTTGTGGCTACATCCACAACAGAGGCAGAATATGTAGCAGCTACACAAGCCAGTAAAGAAGCAATTTGGTTGAAGATGCTATTGGAGGAGCTTGGGCACAATCAAGAGTATGTCTCTCTGTTTTGTGACAGTCAAAGCGCCTTGCATTTAGCAAGGAATCCAACATTTCATTCAAGGACAAAACACATACGAGTTCAGTACCATTTCATTTATGAAAAGGTGGAAGAAGGGACGATAGATATGCAGAAGATCCATACCAAAGACAACATAGCAGATTTCATGACGAAGGCGATCAATACTGTTAAATTTACTTGGTGTCGATCCTCCTGTGGCCTGTCAGAGACGTAAGCAACATGATGGTACAAGGTAGAAAGAATGGTGTGAAGATATGATTGTTCCAATCAAATCTTCAAGTGGGAGATTATTGAAAAGTCAAAGATTGGTGTGCATAAAT